GGGCTGCCTGGGAGGCAGCGCAGATCTGGGTTACAGCATCACACGACCGCTGTGGTAGGGTGGTAACTAGCAATTACCTGGGGGAGTAGAGCTGGGTAAAGTTGTGTGGCAGAGCTGGCAGGGCTGAAAGAGGAGTGAGCACAGCAGCAGAGCTGCCATGGGGTGCCTCAGAGGTAAGCTGCACTGAACCGGCCCCTCCCCACTCCCCCACAGCGGCTATTGGGGTGGAGGAGAGGAGGAGGAGGGAGAAGATGCCAGGCTCTGTGCAGCCCACTTCTGCTGAGCCCAATGGCAGCCACACCACTGTGCTCACTCCTATTTGTGACACACGCTCACTCCTGGGCAGCCCCTGCCAAAGCTGCTTCCTTCATAGTGAGCAGTATCAAACCAGGGATCCTGCCAAACCCTGCTGCCCTGCACTGCTGCTGCTGATGCTGCTGCCTGCCCCTGCACATTCACTGTGTAGAGCCTTCTACAGCCACGGGCTTCAGTCCCAGCTGGCGGTGGAACTCACCACAGTCCCTCATTTCACCCTTGGCCCCAGCTCCCAGTGCTGCCCTGCCCCTCTGCCCTGGAACCATGTAACTGATATAAATTAAAAGAAATTAAACAATTTTTTAACAATATTTAATTTTTAAACAATATTTACATCCCTACTTTCTGTATGTGCAAGGACACAGCTGCAAAGTAACTGAAAGGAAGTATTCAATAACTGACTTCAAACAAATCCATTAGTCAGGTGAATGAGGGAAGAACAAAGGAGGGAAGGAGATAACTCTTTGCCCAATCTTAAGTAAAGAATAGTTACCTTGCCCACAACAGGACTAGTAAAAGCTTCATCAGGGAAATGCACTCTGGCTCTCTCATATGCCATATCCATGTCATATTTAGCACCACTGGAATTACCTGTAAACAAAATGAAGCACTTTTAAAGGCACTCCCATCATCCCTCTATTGCTCCAACTGTTTCTCCGTTGGAGAAATACCTGTTCATTAGTCTTCTTGAGGATGGCAGATATTGCAGAAAACCATAGGCCACTGATTTCTCTTCCCAAAATGAAGAATTGCACAGAAGGCAAAGAAAACACAGCCAGATAGGTCAGTTTATTTCACAGGTTCATAGACTTAAAGGCTCACAGGGACCATTAGAGGATCTAATCCAAGCATGGGCAAAATGCGACCCGTGGGCTGGATGTGGCCCACAAGGCCATTCTATCTGGCCTGTGGGGCCCCTAAAAATTTAGAACATTAACATTTATCTGCCCCTGGCTGCCTGTCATGTGGCCCTTGATGGCTTGCCAAAACTCAGTAAGCGGCCCTCCCCCTGAAATAATTGCCTGCCCCTGAGTCTAACCTGACCTCCTGCAATGCACAAGACCTTAAACTTCATCCAATCCCTCCCATATTAAGTCCAATCATTTGTGTTTGGCTAAAGCAAATCTTCCAGAAAGGCAGCCAGGCTTGATCTGAAGACATTAAGAGTTGACGGTTCCAATGGCTAGTCAAACTCCCTGTTAAATTCCAATGGGAAATAAGGGACAAGTTTGTGTGTAGCTTCCAGTCACTTATTTGTGTTATGTCTTTTTCCACTCAAATAAAGAGCCCATTAGTATTTTCTTCCCAGGAAGGTACTAACACCACCATAATCATGTCACCTTTCCATCATCTTTTTCTAGCTTGTCAAATACATTTAACTGTTGAAGCCTCTCACTGTATGTTTCTAGCCCTCCAATTATTTCAAAGTCTTTTTTTGTACCCTCCAAAATTTCTCAGCATCTTCTTCAGAATGCAGACACCAGAATAGCATACTGGATTCTAGTACCAGTCTCACTGATACAACAAAAAGTAAAAATCACCTCCGTTTTCCTACTTACTACTTCTGTATCCAAGGAATACATTCACTGTTTTTTGTTTTTTTTTGCCACAGGCTTGCATTAGGACCTCATGTTCAGCTGTTTACCTAAAATGACCTCTAAAACCTTTTCAGTCACTACTTTCCAAAATACAGTCAATAAAGTTTCCCTACAGGTATGGCGTGCATTCCTTATTCACAGGTATGTAACTCTGCATTCCCAGAGAACTAAACAGCCTGTAGCTACCCAAATCTTTCTGCCTGCCCTATTTAAATACTACACAAAATTTAACACTATTCTTATGGAATTCCCATTATGGAATTTCCCTAGTTTCCTAAGAGATCTCCTCAGGCCAAGTCTTTTGGAATTGCTAAATCCCAATTATCCACATCTGCTGATTTTAAAAAATATTCCTAGCAGATTTTACTTAACATTCTCTCAGCAATTAAGCACTTTCTAGTCCCTTACCTTAAACATGATGCAAATACATCAACCTGTGCCTTTCCAAATAAGGAACATGAACATTTATCGAACACTTTGCTCCTCCTGCATCTTATTACAATCTTATCCATTTCCTTCTAGAAATGGGCCTATAACATCCCTAGGATTTCTCTTGTTCCTAATACACTTAAAAACATCTACTTCTCATCCCTACCATTATAGCCAAGGATGTTTTGAACTTTTCCTATTAATGAGCACAACTTCAGAATTTCCAGGCCATAGAGTGCTATAGATATAGATATATATCTATATATAAACTATATATATATGATTGCGTTTCATTTTAATCATGGAAAAATGTGGATTTAAAGTTACTTTTTTTAAACCAAAAATTGGGGATCTTTTTAAATCAGAGAAAACCAGGATCCCTGTTGATCATACATTACTTATTTGTTTCTAATTTCTGCCTTCACTTCACTGCCTCATGCAGATCTGCCTCATTCGCTGAACCTGAATGGTATGTGGCCAAAGCTGTATTTAACCTTCATTGTGGAATCACTGTTTTTTGACATTTTCTAAACTGTTCATTAAAAGCTCCCTATTTTATTCACGTTTTTCTATTTTTGCCTCCAGTGTGATCCAGTGGTCTGTAGGGGTGCACCAATAGAGATTTTGGGGGTCAATATTGATAACCAATATTTAAGGAGGCATATCGGCCAATACCAATCTGATTTCCGATACAGCTGCCTCCAGTTGGTAAGTCCAGTGTGATGGAAGGGGAAGGGGAAGGGGAAGGGAAGGGGCATGGGGGGGCAGATTAACACCCCCCACTGTGAGGTAGGGGGCAGTGGCAGGCACTCCCCAGGCAGAATGGGGGGGCAGAGATGTGGCTTATGGGGGTGGGGGGAGGCGGCTCCCACCACAGCTTGCACCCTGGGAGGGCATGGGCTGGGGGGCACATGGCCCCCCAGATCTGCATGAGGCAGAGCAGTCCACAGCCAGGGTTGCCCGGGGCTCTTCTCGGTGGGGGCTGGGCTTAGAGCGGGTGCTGGTGGCACTGGAAGAATGTTGCATCCACCCCAAATTTTGCCACCACTCCACTCCCAGCACCACTGCCACCAGCACAGCCCTGGCTCAAAGCACTGCCTCCACCCACGCACTGGGAAGAGCCAGGGCTGCACCAGGCGGCTGACAGCGGTGGCGCTAGGAGCAAAGTGGTGGCATTTGGAGTAGATGCAGCATCCTCCCAGCACCACTGGCACCTGCTCCAAGCCCAGTCACCGCCAAGAAGAGCCCAGAGCAGCCTCAGTTGCAGCCTGCTCTGCGCAGATCTGGGGGGCACACCCCCCTGTGCCCTCCCGGGGTGCAAGTAGCAGAAGGAGCTGCCTCCCCCTGCCATGAGCCACGGCTCTGCATGCCCCCCCACCACCCAGACAGTGCCTGCCCCTGCTGCCTCCCTCGCCACGGGGGTGTGTGTGAATTGATTCCCCCCCCACCCCTTCCCTCACCCCTCCCCTTCCACCACCCCAGACTTACCAGCTGGAGGCAGCTCTCTACGCTGCAGGGCTGTGCTCCTTACTGCCTGAGTGCTGCGCTGTGCCTGCGCACAGTACGGGCATTTATCAGCCAACTTAATCAGGCCCATTGGGCTGATGTCTGATACAGCCAGTTTTCTTTATATTGGTATCGATCCAATATCGGACCCCTCTAGTGATCTGGGTCACTCACAGCCTCTTGAAACTAAAATATCTACATAGTTTGCTAAAGGAAGCCTTCGAGACTTCATAGGCAGAGACATTAACTCTGTCATTTTAGTCACTGCTAATTGCAATAATTTTTCATCCAGTTCTGTATAGCTCAAGCTCTTTTAATAGTTGCAGGCTTCAGTATCAGAGAAGCTACTTCAGCAAAACTATCAACCATAAAAATCAAAAGTGCCTCCTCAGAGAAAACAGGAGTATGTAGGTCCCCATATAATGCCACCAGCTGAGCTGTGTGCACCATACCCACTAAGAGCCTAACCTAACAGGCACATGCTTATTACCAAGCACAGGCCTACACCCAGGTAAGTCCTAAGTAAAGACTCCAATATTGTGACACATCTTCCTACAAAATCAACAGAACAGCAAAACCACCTCATATTTAGCTTTGTTCATTAAAAAAGGAAAGACAATCTGAGTAGAAAGGTATCAAGCTACTAGACCTCTTCTATCAGAAATGTGGTCATCATAATTATTGGTATTTGCACATGTGAGCTTCCCTCACACTAATTAATTAAACTGTCTTGCAGCCAAAGTGGAAAATAGAAAAGATGTAGCTGAAATAAAAGAAGAACAGAAGAAGGTAGGAAACTAAAGAGTGGTGCTCATCCCTGTTTGAATCCTCTCTCACTGGTGCCCCACACACTTCTCTTAGGGTAGTTACTGAACAAGAGCCAGGGATACTTACAACTTCCTGACAATATTTCACTTCCTTCTGAATACACAGGAACAAAAGCAAATTTCTCCCAAGCATCCAGCTATGCCCACATCAGCAGAATTGTACTTCTGTACACAAGAGTTGACAGATTGTGCAGAAGCTTAAGTAGAAAATCTAGTCCTGCTTTCATCTCCTAATAAACAGTGATATCTGCCATTCTAGTTTCACAAAAGTTTATTCTCTAAAAAATCCAGACTGGGGACACTTACTACTAACAGAAGATAGTTGTCATTCCATCCTTCTCAGGGCACCAATTGTTTTAACTGGTTTCCCATTTGTATTGTCCATAAATCCAGGTCTTCTGTATGACCCCATTGCCTCTTGTTACATACAGGGGATCAACATACTCTGAATACATCAGATGATGATGATCTACACTACTTACTTTGTATGTGTGACTTAATTTGAAAAAATGAGAGAGTGCAGAGTATGTTTTGCGCCACAGAAATACCAGAATACTTCCTAGTGTGGCAGGCAGGTAAAAGTATATTTCCTAGACTTGATTTATTTGTCTAGTCTCATGAGGTAAACAGGATGAAAGGTTATTGGAAATCCTCTTGTATGATATGGGTAATATAAGAAACACTACTCCTTTCAACAGCAGATATCCCAACACCGTCTTAGTGGCAATATAGTACTAGGATCGATTCACAATCCTAAGTCTTGAGTACTTTCCTTAACAAGGTGCTTTTTGCACATGGTGCTTTTTTTGCACTAGCAAAACAATGACACTAGCCTTGGTGTCTCAGACAAAAAGCAACTCCACTAATTATATTCTGCCTCATTCAGTATATCAGGGAATTTAATCACTTTTTATGGCTATACCATTACATGCCCTAGCAGCTCTGTAGAGGGCTATCTACCCTCAAAATCATTAGATAGCTTATATTTTCTACAACATTCCTCACACCCTGCTCACCAGGCGTCTCTGTGGATCCGGAAGAAGCTGGCAAAGAAAGACTTCTTCTGAGAAGGAGCTCTGAATTTTCGGTACTAGAAGTCTTTGCTGTTTCTGATGCTTACAAACAAAAATAAAGGTTAAACAGTCAGTACACCACAACAAAATGACATGCCATTTAAACAGGTGCTTTTCATTTCCTGTTTTCAGACAATTCATGCACTAGGTCTAAACTTATCTTTTTTAATTTAATTTTTTTAATGATGAAATTAAAAGAAAACAAACTTTAAAAAAATTCAGCAACCCAAATCATCTGCCCACTTGTAGCTCCTCCCCTGGTTCCTCTATCTGGAGTGCTCACCTCATAGCCTATCACCTCTGTTTCTTTATCGAACCAACCCTCTCCCTGCATATTTAGGTGAAGTAATAAGCCACCCAGCTCTCAGGTCAGCCCTGGAACTGGAACTTAGATGACTAAACTCGAATTCCTAAGTCTACAACATACTTCCAGTGTGACCCTGGGGAAGTCACAGTCTCCTATTCCTCTGTCTGTACAGTGACAATAATCTTGCACTCCTTCACAGGAGGCACTGGGGATAAATTATCACCTGTTTATAATATACTTAGAAACTGGGAAGAAAGGGACCATGAAAGTAGACAGAAAAATAGCAGAACCCATTCAGTATTGCTAGCAGTATCAACAACATCTATCTGGGCAAGCTGTGGCAGACAGAAACCAAAATAGTAACACTTTGCTCTCTTTAGATTTGATTTTATTAGAAGTCTATGCTTACCTGCCTTCATTTAATTTTTTTTCTAGGTAAATTATAGAGAGCTCTTGCATATGCAGGGATTTTTCTGCTACTATCTAAATCTGAGCATTTCTCATTGTCTTCCTGTACAGTCAGTATTATTAAAGGAGTCTCACAAAATAAATTCCAGTAGTAATTTTTTCCTCTACCCTTAAATTAAAAAAGGACTACATTTTTTTTTCAAAATGTTTGATGTAGATGAAATAATGGCCCCTATTAAGGAAGTTAAATCTGAAATCCCTGTCTAAGCTGCAAAGACATTTGATATGCCCTAATCAAACAACAGAATTCTGATACAGAACACAGTACTGTGCTACTTATAAAATACCGGCAAGAGCATTACCCAGTTCTAAGGTATCCCCTCCTTTCTCCAGCTTCTCTCCACGTTCCTCCTCTGATACATTAGACACCTGTCTTTTCACCACTCTGTTTGAACTTCCTCCAGATGTTACACTTGCCACTGATACCAATGGGATAGCTTGGTTCTCCTAAGCAAAAGCAAGATGAAGATGTAGACAGATGTACCTGTGTCTTGTGAACCTGGATACATAGCAAGTTACATTTTAAGATGTATCAAGGGGAATACACGAATTAGAATCCCCTATGGGTTTTCCACTTCTTGATCCGTAATCTAATGTAGCCTTTGGGTTCAAGTCTGAGTTTCACAGGTTCTCTAAACACATAATAGTGTCATCTGTCAGAGACAGCATGGGGAAATGATCTGTTCTTACTTAACCCATCTTGTAACATTTTCTACAGAAGATGTATGCAACTCCTATTAGCTATGTAAAGCTACTGAAGGTAGAGAGAGAGAGCACTAAATTCCCTCTTATATAAAAAAAAACCTGCATGTTAGTTTCTATTTACTGAATCTTTGCTACTGGTGAGCAATAAAGCAATAGGAATAAAACAGTCTTGAGAATCAGATGTCAGGATTTAAAGGAACCTTTACACTTGCAAACTGATCACATCTGCTATAGAAACAAGATAGGAGACTAGGAATGGAGCCCCCCAAAAGTCGTATTTCTAATTATAACTACACAGATTCAACAAAGTCTTGTGTAACATTCTTATTCAACTCTCACCATCATACACACATACACTCACACACATTACAGCTGCTGCCTGGGAGTTAGAATTACAAGCTAAGCCAAGAAATAATAATAATAGTACACACTGCATATTTTTAGTCTGCAATCATTTAGTGACCTCAGGCATATTATGTTATTAAAAACAGTGTGCATTCCCAGAACACAATATAAATGCTCTCTCCTTTGAACTGTTGCAGGGAGGTGAGACTGTAGATCACGAATGCTTCTAATTTTAAAACAAGCCATAATATTAAATGCTTAATTAGAGCCCTTATAAAAGTTTGTCAATGCACAGCAATGAAGTGGTGCAGTTTCAACCCCCAACAGCCTTCATTTCCATCTTTATTAAGAGCTGAAGTTTGTCATTCATATTCTAAACATCTAAAACATGTGAAAGGAATCGTAATGTAATGTTCACCACTGTTTATAGACAGCCTCAGGGGCAGATGTGGAGCTGCCCTCTGATAGTTTTTAATCCTGTATTTAACAGGATGTTACATGTTAACAGTGTTTAACATGGAACTGTACTAGTTTAGCTTAATAAGGATCTCACTCTGCAGAGATGCAGTGGTGGCAGGGAGGACCAGATGAAGACAAAGGACCCCAAAAGAATACTCTGGAATACCTGGGATTCCCTAAGAGTAGGGGTTAGTGCAGCTGCAGACACTGACTGTTTTAAATTCTTTTCTCTCAGAATGCCTTGTTCCTGCTGAAAATCATGTTTTGGGTTAAGGCAGGGGTTTCACATCTGGTCCTGCGAGCTAGGTGAGTGTCATAGAGCCAGTCAGGGGGCTGAATCAGGTCCACAGACCAGCCATGTGTGCCAGATCCAGCACATGTACTGGAGTGGCCAGAGCAGGTGCTTTACATGGCACATGTCCCAGACTGGCTGTTCTGGGAAACTGCTGCTCACAGAGCCTGCTCCAGTGAACATCAGCTCTGTGCCAAAGCCAGTGCATGTCCCAGGGCAGCCACAGAAGGTGCAATGTGCAGCACAGTTCCAGAGCAGCTGGAGCAGATGCAACATGCAGCGAAATCTGGCTGTTCTGGGATCATGCTGCACATGGCACCTATCCTGTGCATGCCTGCCCCATGCTGCATCTAATGCATGGCCCAGAGCAGCTACTCAGGGCCATGCGCTGCACATAATGCCCACTCCCAGGCCATGCTGTGTGCTGCACCTGCTCTGGCCACTCTGGGATGTGTGCCAGATACGGCATGGAGCGGATGTTTGCTGGAGTGGGTGCTGCACGTGGTGCAGTCCTGAAGCAGCTGCCACATGGGTGCAGAGGGCCACCAGACACACCCCAAATCCTGCCTGTGGGCCCACTAGAAACCCATAGGCAGCACTGGAGGTCATATGATACAGCTGCATGCACCAGATGCAACCTGCAGGCTGCATCTTTCACATCCCTAATTTAAGATGTTTGCCTGATCACCGTACATCACTAAATCACAGACTCCTGAAGGGAGGAACCTGTTCAACTCGGTTGTCTGACCTGCTAGAATAAAAACAGTTAATACACAGGTACTACAGCTCATGCTGTAGACTAGGATTGGGAGAACTGTGAAATCCCACCCCAAGAGAGGTAAAGGCATGAGGCATAACAACTGAGGGCATTAGCTCAAAGAAACCTGAAAGGGGTCAGCCAGCCCTGCATCCCTGGCAGCCTCTATAATGTTTCCTTTAGGTGTTTTCAGTATTTATCAATTATCACCACTAAATAGAGTTTTATAGCTTGGTTAAGATCAGAAGAATCCTAGCTCCAGAAACAATGGATAAGTGTTGCACAATAAATCAGTGTTTGCTTTAGGGTGGGATCATGCTCATGAGCTACTCAAGTAGAAGATACACCCACAGATGGGACGTGCCATGTTACAGGCTGTGTGATAAGAGTAAACTACTTTCATTCTATACTTACACAGTTGAAGAGCTCTGTGGTCAGGCCAAGATAGTTGTGCAGAGCTAGGAATGTCACTCTCTGGAGCCTCACCATGATGATCTAGGAGCAAGAGATCAAGCATCTATAAAGTAAAATTACTCTTGGGGTTCCAGTTAAAAGTGCCAACCACATGAAACAGGTAACTAAGCACACTATTTCATATTGGCAGGTAAAAGAATTTACCAAACTACCCACTATTGCCACAGTTCAGTTTGTTGGAGGTCTGCTAAAATACTCCCTGCCAGGTTCTGCTCTATGATGAGCAAAGAAAACATCCATAGATAGTAATGGGAGTTGAAGGAAATCTGATTTCGAAAGTAGAAAGGGAGTTAGTTAGCCTGGCCCAAGGGGGCTGATGTGAGGAAGCTTAACCAAAATATTTTATGAAATATTTCTTCTTATGTACTCTTGCACAGTGCATTTTAAACTGCCCAAAACTACCAATACTGCATTTTAAAGTGCCCTGGTACATTTTAAACTGCCCGAAGTCTAGGGACCATACCTCTGGATTTGTGTCTCTTCTTATACATCTTCTCTAGCCTTTTAAACAATACATTTTTCATATCATAAAAAAAAAAGCAACCTGTGGGCATACCTACCTGCACCACTCTCACAAGAGTTTCAGGGTATTTCTGGAAGACATCTTGAAAGGCATTGGCAGGAAGTCGCAATATAGTAGATGGTGTTGCTGCTCGGGCTGATACCGTTTTATACGGAGCAGGGTGGCCCTATTAAAAGAGTATCAGGGTAATGTTTGTTCTTCTCACCCATTGTTCACCTGCCTGGATTCTTCCTAAAGCACCCCTCCCCCTGCCATGCACACACTCGCCAGCAATGCCTGTCATACTTACACATTTATGATCTCACTATGTGAGGACACAAACTTATTCTTTATGAATTACCCAAGAGGGACATCAGATGACAGAGAAATCAGTATTATTCATGGGATCAACTTCACAGACACCCTCAGAAAGTAGAGAGGCATAGTAGAGAGGCTATAGCTCACCGCCTGGTAGAAGAATCATCTGACTCTCTGATTCCATCCATAACATTACACTACAGGGAAAGCCTGGGTGAAAAAAGCTCTTTGCAGACCTTTTCATGTATGCTGTCCCTCCATTTAGAATATTTGCTGTAACAGCAATCTAGGGAGTCACACAACTCAGCAAGAATTCAGTAACCTGCTACTTCCACTATTCCAAATGTTGCTAAAGCCTAAAAGCTCCATATTGAAGGCTGTAGAAAACAATAATGACCAAAGGACTTACCAAGTGGAAGAAAACTAATGACGACAAAACACAGTGGCTGGATTCCACAGGGACTGTGATGGAGTGCAAGAGGAGAACATTCTAAAGAGTAACCTATACTACTGAAGAGGAACTGCTTAACAAAGGAAAAGCAAGAAGTGGGTATGTGTGTTCCCTCTAGCAATTTTTTTCAACCTTGTATAAAAAAGGAGATACAACTCATTCTAAAAAAGTAAGGTTTTTTTTCCATGAAATACATCAGGTCTAGACTTCCCTATTCTTGCTGGGAGACTCTTGCAGGATAGGAGAATCAGCAGAAAAATCTTCAAACAGTAAATGAGGGGTAGGGTTTAGAGATTTGTATATTTGCCAACTAAGAAATTGCTGTTTGGGGCTTTCATTTGAAGGGATTCAGTTCATTTGCCCTAGTAAATCCAGGAAGATGAAAATTTGATTTATCTACTATTCCTAAGAGTAAAAAACAAAAGAAAAGAACTGGAGGGTAAGTGTAGGGGACAGACTAGGTGGAGAAATGAGTACAAGGACTGGGACTCCTATTTAGTCTGTCATGTTAAGGCTTTTGAAACTCTTCTCTCCCCCAGATGATATAAAGCAAATACATAACAATCCTGAGGACACTGAATGCAAAGAGACTAAATTTACCCCATATAAGTCAAATTAACAGACCTACAGCTTCCTATAACATTATACAACATTATTCAAAAGTGACATTTACAGAAAGTTTCTGCCCAAAGAAAACTCCAAACAAAATACTCTCCACACTATTATCAACTCTCCAAAAAATAAAATTGAATGACTGTTGATTTTGTTAAGCTGGAAGCTAGGATGAAGAAGAGTGCAGGACCTGAACAGCAAAATGAAATTAACTGCAAACTGACCTCAGGAATTATACTGATTTGAACTTTTCGGAGGGCAAAGGACATGACATGACACTGAGTGAAGACTGTGGGTGTAATTAATAACCAGAATTTCCAAATTGCAGGTGCAGGCTCTAATTCTGAATGTCTACTGGATGTGACCTGGAACTGCATGACAACTACTTCATTTCTTTACTTAGTAAAAAGAACTTTATGATCACAGATAACCTTTCAAGCTTTTTACATAACTCAAAAAGGGCAAAACATCCCTCATTTCTGCAGGTCACCTTAAGCCAGATTCTGAAGGCCTGCTCCTACCTAATGATTATTCTGTTCTTCAGTCTATTCCCATGCAAACTGCTTTAGTAGAAAAAAAAAAAAGTTCATTCTTTGACACTTCGAGATATAGATCATTGTACTTTTAACTATTGTATTCTTCCGCAAGATCAGACACTAAATGAAAAGGGGAGTGAGGGTGGGAATAGAAAAGAGAGAGAGAAAAAAAAATATTTAATTATTTTTGTTCAGTGACTAAGGAATTATAATAAGCTTTAATAAAATGTTACACAGAAGTCATTCAAAAGGGCAAACAGGGGGCTTCAGATCCCCAAAGGTTTTACTTAGAACTCCAGCTATAGAGTTGTTCCTTTTCAGAACAATGCTTATTTGATGACAGAGAAAAGTTGACAGCTTGACATATAATCGCAGCCTAACAATTTCTCCATTCTGCACTGTAATGGACGCTTAATCCAGCAGAGCATTTAAGAGAAGAATAGTTCATGCTTCTAGTTACCCTGTGTGCAATTTTTCTTTTTTAAATACTAGTCAGCAGGATAGGAGCTCACTTTTCAAAAAGCAAGCAGCCTGTACAACGCAACTGGTCTGGAATGTGCCAAAAGCCGCCAGAAAGGAACAAAAAGAGGAAAATGTTCTGAAAACTGTCAGTTTTTTCCAAGGCACTGTAATCAGCAGCACAGAGAACACAGTGTTTAAATAGTTTAAATAATGTCCGTCAGTCTTCTATAATCGCATACCAAGTGCTACAGGGATAACCTTTTAGGATATATTCCACAGAAGCTTACTGTGGGATTTATTTGTTCTGGATGTAGATACCAGTTTACCTCCATTTTGTTCTGTAACCCACAGAGTAATTAGATATTGTAGGTTACAAACAGCACAGCAAAACAGAAATAGTTGAGGTTTCCTAAAAAGAAAAGGAATGCAGTCAAATGCTTCCAATTAAATAGATTTGAATAAAACATCTGTGAAGCAACATGGTGGTAGTTCTTGCTTCTCCATTGAGTGCGGTAACTCCCTCCTCCCTTGTTTTCAAAGCCTTAACATGTACCATACTCCTGCTGTTAGGACTTCTTCCCCTCCCGTTTGGCTTCCATCCCCTCCAACATACTCAAAGGTATTCTAATCAAGAGTACCATGCTAAACCAAAGGGTAACTTTTCTCTACCCTAATCTCTTGATCTTGTCTAGTGGCTTTTGATATGGTTGATTCCATTTCTGTTGTTGTTCTCTCCTGGTTTTTTCAACTAAGCTCCCCGATCTCATCCAACACCACTAGCCATTGTCTCAGTATGCCTTTCAATGGCTCCCCAGCCTCTATTATCTCCACATTCACTGGTGTTCCTGATGGCTTTGTCCACACAGTCCCTTCCCTCCTGGCCTACATGCTCATTGATTTAATCTACTTGCAATACTTAAATCATCATCTTGTAAAACAAACCTTTTAGCTCCAGCCTCTCCCTTTCTGTTCAGTTTGGCATCTCTTGAACAATCTGTGCTACCTCAGACTCTGTCTTTATTTATTTCCCTTGTGCTTGCCTCATCCAAAGCCAGGTCTGGTCTACACTGCAAAGTTTTGCCAGCACTGTTACGTTAGTTAAGCACATGAAAACAAGACACACTCGCACCCCCCTACACATAGTTTCATAGATTTAGGGTCGGAAGGGACCTAGTAGATCTTCTAGCCCGCCCCCCCGCCAGGGCGGGAGAACAACAAAACCCCAAAACAAAAACGGGACTCAAATGAGTCTAGCCAGGTAGGCATCCAGCCTCTTCTTAAAGACCTCCAGGGTAGGGGCCAGCACCACTTCCCTTGGAAGTTGGTTCCAGCTCCTAGCCGCCCTAACTGTGAAGTAGTTTTTGCAGATGTCCAATCTATACCTCCTCGCCATCAACTTGTGCCCATTACTCCTTGTTATGCCAGTGGGCGCTAGGGGAAACAGCACCTCCCCCAAACACCTTTACTGGCCAGCACCTTTACACATGCACCTTTACTGGCCAGCAAAACCCCTAGAATAGAAGCACCTATCCAGGGGTTTTCAACTTCTTTTAGTCTAAGTATTCCTGGCAGACAGATGCCAAGCGGGGAGGGGGGGGGGGGGGGGGGGAGGAGGGGAGTAGTTTGCAGCCAGACACAGCTGCAGCATAACCCCTAGGACTCACCCACACACACATACCCCTAGGACTGGTCCAAGTACCCGCAGGAATACACACCCCTGGTTGACAACCCTTGACTTATGCCAAGAAAAAGACTGCTTTTGCTAACTTAGCTCATGTCATCCAAGGTGCACAGGAAACAAGCAGGAGGAACTGGCCCCCCTACTAACCAACAACCAATATGATCTCACAGGGATCACGGAGATCTGGTGGGACTCCACCTGTGGCTGGGCCACAAGCATAGGGGGATATACCTTGTGTAGGAGCAATCATGTTGGGAAGAAGGGTGGTGGAGCTGTTCTATGTGAAAGAATGTTACACCTCCCTAGAAGCAAAGATTGGAAACAAAGAAGGGTGACTTGAAACCCTCTAGGTCAAGATATGGGGAGAGCACGGGGAAGGGGATTTGACCATAGGAGTTTATTACAGAACTCCAAACCAAGAGGAAGAACTCGACCAGGAATTATCTGGAGAACTGGCAGAGGCTCCACGATCTTGGAACATGGTCACCATAGGTGACTTCAACTACCCAGACATCTTGTTGGATGAGCACTCAGCTAGATCCAGTCGCTCACAAAGCTCCCTCACTTGTGTTGAGGAGCTCTATTTAACACAAGTCGTCTATGGGCTGACCAGGGGCAAGAAACTGCTAGACCTGATTTTGGCCAAATGGGACCATCTAGCGAGCAACCTGAGAATCAAAGGGAAACCAGACAACAGTGACCATGAGATCATCACTTTCTCCATTCACCATAAGTCAGGGAAATTGGCCAATAGGGTAGAAATCCTTGATTTTAGGAAAGCTGACTTCCATAAGCTTAGGGGATTGGGTGGCAAGGCCCTGCAAAACCACTGTCTGATGAGGAAGGGAGTACAAGGTAAGTGGTCATTCCTCAAGGAAGCGATCCTAAAAGCTCAAAGGAAGTCCATTCCCTTTCATAAGAACAGCAGCAAAAGGGCTGGGAGACCCCCTTGGCTCAACAGGAAAGTCATAGACCTCCTGAAATGAAAACAAGAAGCCTACAAAGGATGGAAGTCTGGAACAACTACTAAAGAGGAGTACTTGCCAACAGCCCACACCTATAGGGAGCAGATCAGCTGCCAATCTGTGTTTGGTTTGTGCTTTTGCTGTCCTGAAATCAAGGACAAC